CATAAAGAATGAACTCTCATTTGCAGGAAAATGGACAGAACTGGAAATGATGACTCCAGTAAAGTACGCCAGCCTCAAAAACACAAACACAGTGTTCCTGCTCATGCATGGAGTCTGTATTTTAAAGACATGAAGCGGGCATGGTGGCACTCCCCAGCACTTGGAAGGGAGAGGCAGCAGGATCTGTTTGAGTTTGAGGCCAGCTGGTCTACACATAGTGTTCCAAGCTAGCTACATAGTGAGACCCTGTCACAAAGACACAAAAGTGGAAGGGGGGGGCGCAGGGGAGGGCTGGGATGATAGGGGTGCAAGGAGGGAATGAGTCTGACCACAGTACACAGTATACATTTGAAAATGTCACACATGAAGCCTATTATTTTTTCAGTTAACTTTTATTTTTAAAAAAAATCAGAACTAATCTAAGTGCCTGTTTAGGCACTTCAGGATACCAAAGGGATAAAAATGTCCAACTTTAAAAAACTTGTATTTCCTCCACATAAATAATATACTAATGAAAATGGAAGGTTTTCATTTTTTAATCAGAATTCTACTAATATTGTGTTTATACTTTACCTCATAAAAATCTAAAGCTTTTGTTGACATAGGATAGACAAAATACAATGTTTAAAGTAAGAAAGTAAGAGGCTGGAGAGATGGCTCAGTGATTAAGAGTGCTACCTGCTCTTTCAGAGGTCCTGAGTTCAATTCCCAGCACCCACATGGCAGTTCACAACTATCTGTGACTCCAACTCTGGAGATCTGACACTCCCACACAGGCATACACACTGACATACACCAATGCAATAAAATAAAAATAATCAGTTTTTTTTCAAATAAATTATCGATTTAATGTACCTCAACAAAATGTTCTACAGGGGGCACATGCTGGGACAACAAAAGGGGGAAAAAAATAAGGTTAACTGAACTAGATAATAAGAATTATCCTAATTTCATTAATGATAATCATCTTAACTTTCCTCTAGGCCTGTCATCACATGTAATTCTGCCGGTGGCATTTTTAGCTAGGTGTGTTATTACTATTATGGACTTGGACCGTACAGGCTCATGTATTTAAAGTCTGGTCCCCAGATGGAAGGTCTGTGTATAGTCTCAATGTCTACTTCCCGATCTGCCAAGATAAGAGAAGCAATTACCAAAAAGTCCACCACAGCCAGGCCACTCCATTCCCTTCCATACAGTGATGGACTGCATCCTGTGACACTAGAAGCAAAATCAAACTTTTCCTTCAAGTTAGTTCTGGCAAGTCCTAACTAACAAAGTAACGTAACTAACCAATTACACTTTCACAGCTGGGGAAACAGGACTGGAGAGACTGAGTAGCTCAGCAAAAGTCAGACAGTCCAAATTCAAACTTCTGCCTCTTTGCCTTCACTGTGAAATCAGACTGAAAAATAAGCACCGTGTAGTATGAACATAAGCTCATCAGATATATCTGGAACCAATCTAAACTTCAAAACAGTGTGTGTGTGTGTGTGTGTGTGTGTGAGAGAGAGAGAGAGAGAGAGAGAGAGAGAGAGAGAGAGAGAGAGAGAGAGAGAGAGAGAGAGAGAGAGAGAGAGAGAAGTTTGGCCTCTAGAACTCCCTTTTAGTATAGGTCATTACTTTATCCAATAATTATATATAATATATATTTATATACAAGAAAAAGTCAAACTCATTGACTTTCCTTCCTTTCTGATTAATTCCTAAATTGGGCCATGTCCTTATCAATCTATTAAATATTTTGACCTCCCAGCTACCAAAAACATTGCAACCTCCCAACTTCAATCAATCATTTTCATTCTTACTCCTCTTGGCCATGTTACTGGTCAGACCCAACCTGCCATGTAAAACCTTTTTCCTTCTTGGATACCCAGAACAATACATTTTCCCAATTCTCATTTTTTTTTTCTCCCAGCAACGGAATGCTGGCCTCTGTACACTCCATCTTCAGGGGCCCTTCCACATGCTAGGAACATGTCTTACCATGCCCTATGCTTAAGTTCAACCATTATTTTGTAAAATACTCCTGGTCTCACTCATACCAAAAGTGTAACCTCTTTTGTACACTCCTCATCACCACGCTTAGTTTATTCACAGGACACTTGATGGCTGTCCCATCCATAAGACTAAACTTCTGAACAACAGAAAGCACATTTATGTTTCTGTCCTAGACAAATGTCTGGTTTTAAATACCGTGGTGAATTTTCCATATTAAACTATTTTTACACTTCCAAAATTACAAATAAAGGGAAGCATACGACTTGGCACTCTGTAAAAACATTCACTAAACTGATTTGTTTCTAATTCAAATTTTCAAAAGAATTATATATTTGTATTTTAAGGAACTTTTAAGGCTTAATTCAAAATGCTTCATTAAAATAGACTCCTCGATGAAATGGCCAGTTTCTTTGTATCCTACAACATAGAGGCAACTAATGGCTGATTAATAAATGGAAGCTATCTTTGGTGTAGTCTAAAACTAAGCCAAGTAGCATTTTAATCTAAGCAATCTTTCTAGCCCAAGGAAGTTAGGCATGCACTAATACTTCAACAATTTATTTCTAACGTTTTAGCAAATTCTCAACTTTTCCCTGACTGTCTTCAAATCATCACATCTTTCCCTTCATGAATTCTACCCAGTAATGTTGTTTGTGAAAGAACTGCCAACTACCTTTCTACAACTGAAGCACACCAAATTTAGAATTTAAAACTTCAGGGTTAAAGAAACAAAAATAGAGCCCAATGGTGTCTGAGAAGACCATCATCTTGCAACAAAACAATCACAACAATCACACCCTCCCCCCCCCCAAGTCTTAACAACAATCTTTTATTACACCATCCTTGATGGACATTGCAAATCTCCTCTTAAAGTCAACACTGCATTTTTTGGTAGTTGGTTTGACAGTACACACAGGCTTGAAAGAGTATGGAGAAGCATTCCATTTTGATTTCTCAGCCACTGACAACTTATCAATGAAAATCTTAAGCAATCTTCAAGAAGAACTGCACACCCAAGATCACTTCCAAACTCCCCAAGTAGACACACCTGTCCCAAGGTAGGGATACACATCAAGGTCAAAGTAAAAGAAGCTGTTGGATTTCAAGTTTAAGGTGCTAGGAGAGACAACCTCATCTCCCTTTTATAGGTCCAAACAAGTCACCTATGTCTCCTGGCTTCTGTTTACTCAAATTCCCTAACCCGAGACAGAGACTTAAATATCTTAGGGGCCTTTTCCCCTCTGTAATTTTGCCTGTAAAACAAGCATCATTAACAGGAAGCATGATTTTCTGCTGGAGACGGTCCTTAGTGTGGAACCAATTTAATTTTTTAACAAGGGTAACAGGAAATTTTTACTTTCTGAAGATCGGAGTCAAGTAATCCACTGGATTCAGTCTCCTAAAGGATGGAAACCACTTACAGCTATTCGAACTCGACTTCAAATATCAAAATAACTAGAAAGAAGTCTTTTGGAACCTACACAGATACCAGTTTGATGTATGATCACTGGGGACTCACATGGGTTGTGTGTGGGTTCACCAAACCGATCCTCTTCATAAATTTAAAGAGGAATCCACTATGACGGCCACTCCACGTTTATGCATGACAGACTAAGTTATGCATCATTTGTACTGAAGTTTTGTGACCAATGAACTCCTCTCAGGTATCTTTCTCCCCATTCTCTATTCTAAAGGAGCAACGGTTAAAAGTAAATAAATATGTGAGCCTAATCTAGTCCATATTAGCTCCATACAAATCTTCTTGTAAATACTTCATAGAACAAGATACGGTTTGAACATATTACCACCTATACATACTATGATGTGCTTTAAAAAAAAAAAAAATTAAAGCACACCAAACCCAGATCTATCAGAGTAATTCCCTCCAGGGCTCACATGTATGCATTATGCAACAACCAGCGATCCAGATGTTAATCCCTGTTGTGATGCAATGGCAAAATACCAAAGGCAAGGGTCTAACTCATTCAAAGAGCCCACTAACACATTTAAACAAGAATTATTATACGCTCGAGAATCTTGGAAAACGAGAAATTAATAATTCTTGAATACATTAAAACTTCCTTTGGGTGACCTTTTAGATGCGTCCCCCCCCCAATACCCTAGAAAATCCTCACAGCGTTTTAATCTAGGTTTTGAAAATGAAGGCCTGAAGGGGGGAAAGGGGACCTGCATCAGGTGGTTACCTTCGGGTCTACTCTTGGGAAAGACCCGCGTAAATTATTTCCAGAAGGGAGTAACGCCTTTCATCATTCTTTCCCAAGCACAATCCTCGTAGTAAAACGCGACCCAGACCCCCGGGCCAGACACCACCCGGGACTCGAGGCTCCGTCCTTGCATCTCCGGTGGCACAGGCCTCTCCGAGATCGGCTCGATGGACGGCAGGGAGCCCTGGGACAGAACCGCAGTGACCCGAATTCTAGAGGGGCGAGACCCCCTCCGTACAGTGCCTAGTGCAGACAGAGCAGCGGGCCGTGAGGGAGCCACCTGCGCGGCCACACGGCGCTCGCACCCCGCCCGCCCGGGTCCCGCTACCCCGAGCCGGCCCGGGAGGTGCAGCTGCGACCCCGGGGAAGGCGAGCGCGGCATTCCCGCACACAAAATGGAGGCCCGCGCACCTGGGGTCGCCGCCACCCGAGGTCCTCTCCCCCGCGGGTGCCCGGGGCAGCTCGGCCTCGTCCGCCGCGCCACGCCGCAGCGCGCCGCGCGCACTCACCTCAGCCGCGCCGCGGGGGCCCGAAGGCGGAGCGCGAATGAATGAGCCGCCGGCCGCCGTCGCCGCCCGGCCGCAGCCCACCGTCCCTCCGCCGGCGTGACGCACTGGCGCCGCGGCGCGCCCACCGCGGATCCCCCCGCCCGCCGGCCCTCCGGCCGCCGGCCTCGCGCGCCGCGCCGCGCCGCCCCGCCCCGGGCCCGCCGCCGCCGCCGCCGCCCGCAGGTGTGCGCCCGCCTCGCTCGGCCGGGATTAAAGGAAGAGTGACCTTGGCTTAGCCGGGAATAGCAGCCAGGAAGCCGCGGGGGCCGCGCGCTGGCCTCGCCGGCTCCTTTAAGGTCGACCTGCGCGGCATCCCGCGTGCGCCGCCCTCCCTGCGGGGCCTCGGGCCCGGCGCCCGGCTCTGGAAATTTCGCCCGGGTGGGCGCGGCTTCCCTGTGGGGAAGGAGATGCTCGGCCGAGCTGGGGACGCCGGCGTCTCCTCCCCCACCCACAGCCCCTCGCCACCTCCTGGCCACCCCTGGCCCCACAGCCCTGACTCTACTAGAGAGAAGGAGCCATCCTACGTGACAAGCTAACCTGACCCCAGAGAGCCTGCGCCATCCTCGCCCTTTCCCTCATCCCTTACCACCCAGGCCCTTTTGCTGATTACATCCTACTCGAGGAAAAAGAAGTTCACAGGCATGTTAGGGATGAAAATTCTCCTTTAAAGTAATAACAGGCTGTAGAAGAAATGTATTTAATAAAGATGCATAGCAATCGTGTTTGATTCCTCAGTTCTAAGGAATAAAATCATCCGGTTGTAATTGCATTGTGGTTAAGCTCATTCAGAAAAAAACTGTAAATCACTTCTTCTATTCCTGGGAAGTATTTATTAATTACTATACTAACATTTAAGCATTCACTACTTGATACTTCAAAGAATGCGTTTACATATAGATCTGCTTAACTCTCGCTTATTTTTATAAACGGACTTTTTCTACCTCCAGTTGCACATAAGAACCAACCTCACATCTGTTGTGTTTATTTGTAATAAATTATCACGAGAAATCTTGAATTATACACATTTCCTATTTTTAGCGGAATTTAACAATGAATTAATAACCAAGCAAGAATTCTGAATAGTTGGGCTCCAGCCACAGCTACTCCTGAATGAATGAAGTGATAGGACAGCTGGCTTTTCATTTCTAGATCCGTTTGCAAGTGGGAGTCCCCAGGGTAATCCCAGTTGTCACTTTTGGAAAGCTATTTGTCTTTCCTGCTCTGGCGCCCTCCCCCAGATGTTGAAGTAAATAGACTCTAGGGTCTTAACACTGTATACCTAGCCAGTGCATTTGCTTATGTTTCGGATACCTAAGTGCAACCAACTTTTGAATTACTTTACCAATCTGTAGGAACCTGTGTCTGGAACACTTCCCTCCCAAATGCCTAGCCGCTGAGATAGAAATGTGAAGAACTACTCCTCTAGCCCACTCACACACACAAATAAACCCTGCCCTCTTTCATGTGGCAAGCATTCTATCTGCCCTGACCTGAAGGGCTGTCTTCCCCAAGTCTGAATGAGTGAAGTTATCTTCATTTAGGAGAGCTTGCCACACAAAGGGCTTTGATGGTTGCTGATACTCGTGAACCTGAGTCTTAGAGCCCATCAGACAGACATGTGACCCAGAGTAGGACCCAGAGTAGGACCATCAGGTTCAGTGGAGAAGAATCCCTAATGGATAAAATGATGGCCTATGCTTCTGGCTGCTGCTAAGGGGCCTACACTCTGTTCTTTGTGGAAATTAATTTTCATAATCATCTTTCCAGGGCATACTAATGTGATGCCCAGTTTACATAAGAGGAAACTGAGGAATACAGAAAAGCTGAGCAATTCGTTCATGGTTACACTGCTAACGACCCTGGCCCTTGATTCAACAACACACTCCCTTGAGCAAAATTCTATACTATCTTCATTTGATTGAATTTTGTGACATGCCCCACACCTTCCTGTTTGAACAAATTTCTCGTTTTGGAATATAGAGGAAATGAAACCTTTGGTTAGAAAATGTGTAATATTCCCTGGGGGCTAGAGAGATGGCCCAGCAGTTATGAGTACTCACTGCTCTTGCAGGGAACATGGGTTCAATTCCCAACACCCACATGGCAGCTCACCAATAGTTCCAGGGATCCAACTTCTGACTATTGTGGGGTATCCACCAGAAAAAGAGTATTCAGACACCGGTTTAAGCCAATAGAACGTCTTTGTTAGCCCACTGGCAACAAACTGGGTGTTTGGGATCCCAGTGCAGCCCTAAGCCTTTCTCTGGATGAGCTTTTAAGCACAAAAACAATAGCCTGAGTTGACACACTTCATTTAACAAGAACAATTAACCAGAATCGGAACCACAAAAGCCAAAAAGCAAGGTTAGTATATTTAGAGACCTTCTCAGAAGTATGGACTTTGAAGGATTAGATCTTTGTTTTTGCTTTGACTCATCTATGTGATGAGTTTTATGACCTGAATATTACTTCCATCATGGAGTCAGTTGTACTAAGGTCTGGGGGACTAAAGTCTGGGGGCCTATTACACTGACCTCCATGGGCCACCAGGCATGCAAGTGGTACATATATGTAGCCAAAACACTCAAAAAATTATAATTAAAATAATTTTAAAGAAAGTGCAGAATCTATCAGTACTTGAAAGCCACAAATTTCTCCTCCCCACCTTTTTTTTTTTAAGACAGGGTTTCTCTGTGTAATAATCCTGACTGTCCTGGAACTCATTCTATACACCAGTCTGCCCTCAACCTCACTGAAATCTGCCTGCCTCTGTCTCCCAAGTGAGTGCTGGGATTTAAAGATGTGTGCCACCACAGCTCAGTCCCTCTTTTCAGATCTTCGAGTTATCCAAACTTTTTTGGGTGGAGAGGAGGGTTCTGACAATTAAAAGTCTTATTTGTATTTATTTCATGAATGGGAGAAAAAAAAATTTCTTCAACAAATATCCATCAGCATCTTTGTCTGCTAAAATGTAAAAAGGTGAGCTTGAGATGTTTAATGTAGTTAAGCCAGGTGAGAAAGTTAACAGCTGAGACATGGCCAGTCAGTAAACTTGCTGACTAATAAAATCCATTTACATCACACAACAATCTCAGGATTAAAAGCCTTGTTCTGGGTCGTTTTTTTTTTTCAACCACTACTGACATGTTTCTGATTTGTGAGTCTAGCTTTGAAACTGAGTCCTGGGAGAAAAACAAATAAAAGAACCCGAAGAACGGGAAATATAACAAGTTTGAGAAACCCAGATACCCTTGCTTCTGTAGATTTGATTTGGTTTAATGAGACTTTAGGGATATGAGCCCTCTGTTAAAGTGAGTTTGGATTGACGAGGAATACTCTTTGGTACTGCCAATATTGCTGATGAACGATTATTAACCATGGATTTACATCCACAGTAGACACTGAAACATTCATTTCCAGTTTTGGTTTTGTTTGTTTGTTGAAAACACTATTTTGTTCTGTGTGGGCTGTGTGACTTACAGGAAATCGCTGACAGACATCCCTTCACCCTAGTTACAGCACAAGCAACAGACCAAAGAAACCATCCCTCCCAGTCTAACTTGCAAAGTAAAGCAATGAGCACGACTGGGTCTCTTACAGGAGCATGGGTGGGTGACTCCAGTACTTGCACCCAGCAGGCCCCTTCCTCTCCCTCAATAACTGCTCTCTGCTGACTTACCTTAAATCCTAGAGAGAAGTTTCTTGCAAGTCTCATCAGCCTTGAAAGTAGATTTCTTTAGCTTCCTGAGTTTTAGGAGCCTCTCTCTTTCCTGGGGAAAAGACTGAATTTAGAAAAAACAACTGTGCAAAACACCCCGGACTAAAACTATATTCCTTCCCTGCACCCATCTTGCAGCTGGGATAGCTACACAGCCATTTTAGCCAGAAGATTAATAAGTTCATAGGTATGGCTTCCAAGACCCATTTTGTTTTGTTTTTCTGATTTAAAAAAAGAAAGGAAAGAAGGGAGGGAGAGAGGGACGGAGAAAAGAAGAAATAAGGAAGGAAGGAAGGAAAGGAAGGAAGGAAGGAAGAAAGGAAGAAAGAAAGAAAGAAAGGAAGGAAGGAAGGAAGGAAGGAAGAAAGAAAGAAAGAAAGCTTTCGTGGGGTGTTGACACACACCTTTACCCAGAATTCCAGAGTCAGAAGCAGATAGATCTCTGCGAGTTCCAAGCCATCCTGGTCTACACAGCAAGCAGGTGTCAGGCCAGCCAAGGCTACACAGTCTCACAAAACAAAGGGATAGACTCAACTGGCTTTTACCTTTGCCTTTTGTAGTCTTAACTTCTAAGCAGGAAGAGCACTGCGGTCTAAGAAGCAGGGTGTCAGATTCAAAAGAAACTCAGGACGAATGCCTTACAGTGATGGCTATTAGCATACGAAAGCACACACTGGCCCCCAGGCTCTCTCAGCAAGGCAAATACCAGTTACTGAGTCCGCGCTGGCTTCCTAGCTCTTCTCACCCTGCCCCCACCCTAAACTTCTGCAGCTCACTGGCTTCCCTTCCCCCAGCTTCTCATTCCCGTACAACCCTGCCATTTTGGCCACGTACTGTCTTCTTATCGTCCTCTCTCTTTCCCCTATCTCTTGGTCTCCTTTGCCCACACTCGCATTCTCTTCCTGACTTCCACATGCCTCTGGCTGTACTCTCAGATCTACAATAAAGAAACCTTCCCTTCACCCATACCTTTGCAGCAGTCACATCCTCCGTTTATACACCTGATGCAGGAACCGTCAGTTTGTACACATAGCAGCTATATTTGACCCATGAAAATGAAATTATCCACTAAGTATTCTGGAGACAGAAAGGGAACATGGGACCAAGACCATATCAAGGAACTGCAGGGCCAACTACAGGCACCTACTTTTCTCTGTTGCACACCAACAAATGCAATCAGAGATAATACTCAAAGTCACAACTATTGTCTTCCATGTAACTAGGAGAAAATACCTATGTAGCTATACCATATACCATATGGTATTCTTTGATTTTGCCGCGACATTAGGTGTTGTGGCTTGAACTGTGAAATGTTTGAACATTTGGTCTCTAGCTGGTCGCACTGGTCTGGGAAGCTGTGGAACCTTCCGGAAGTGGATGGAAACTTTTCTAGAAGTGGGACACATTTGGTGTTGCTGGCTCTCAAGTTCAAAGAAATGGGATCCCAAGACATCTTGGGTATCAGGAAGCACTCTGCTGTACCCATCCGCAGGCTCTGCTGAGCATTCGCTTATGTAATGGAGCAGAGCTTTTTGTCCTGTTACGTTTTTGTCTCCTGTATGTGGTGATTTACACTCTGGTTGAGTGTTTTAAACTACAAAGCTGGAATGTGTTGGGAGAAGGGA